TAACATTTGTCATTTTGCTATTTTATCCTGATGCTATAATTCCTAGGAAAGGCTTACTGTAGAATAATTACTTCTTAAATCATTTGGTTCCCTTTCCTTTTTCTTCATGTACTTGTAAGATGTGAGAACATTGTGCTATACACATTCTATTTAGAAAGATTTATGCATTCTCCAAACTTCAGATACTAAATTCATTTTTATCATGTTTAGTGAATTCAAATAATCCAAAAGTATTATTAAGCTACTAGTATTATTGAGTAGGCTAAATAGTAATTTAAACTAAACATAAAATAATGCAACATTTGCTATAAAACATTAAAAAAAACCAACTAAACCAAGAAAAAGCAAAAGTAAAATAAGTATCTTTCTTAAACTCCTACAATCCTTCAGGCTTTGGCTTATATTTAATATCCTCAGAGAAAATTTAAAGGGCCTCTGGAAAAGCCCAGCTCCCTCTACTAGATATTTTCAAGTACTGTACTCCCCCTATAGTAAATTATTTATAAATTTTTCGTCTTCTCTTTTCCTTATTAAAATGTAGGCTTTGTAAGGGAAGTGACCATTTAGGTCTTATTCATCACTGGTTTTTTTCAGCCCTTAGAATAGTGTCTGGAACACAGGAGGCCAGCTCACAGCATCTATTCAACAAGTATTTATTGATCTTAAACGTAATTAAATTCATAGTTTCCATTATAAATAGCACCATATTCTGATGCTATTTTATCCAGATGCCAAAAAATTATCGTCCTTGATTCCAAGATCATGCAACTAAAACTAATTTCTTGTAATGAACTTCTTCCCAGGTAGATCTGTCAACTGGGAAAGAATGCACTGGTGTCAATGATTTCAAATATTCCAGTTCCTTGACAAATATATTTATTACTGGGAAAATTTTAAAGGCATGCAACATTTTTGGTTTGGCGAATTAGATGATTGAAGAAGAATTACTATCCACAAAAGATTTGAGTGAACTGAACATGATGATTGAAAACTAAACAGATTAATATTACTTTGTTTCTTAGGGGAATAATATTACTTTGTTTCTTAGAGGAATAAACAAATGCCATAGGAGCTTTATTTTAAAATGAAAAAAGAAAATAGTAACCCACATCCAAAGATGAATGTAGAAATACAGAAGTAATAGACACAAAAGTTCATTCCTTCCTTTAGATTTTTCATACTTTCTCATAAGTTTGGTAGGTTTTTGCTCTTGGGCATCAAAATATTGTAATAGTGGGGGCTTCCCTGGTGGCGCAGTGGTTGGGAGTCCGCCTGCCGATGTAGGGGACACGGGTTCATGCCCCGGTCCAGGAGGATCCCGCGTGCCGCGGAGCGGCTGGGCCCATGAGCCATGGCCGCTGAGCCTGTGCGTCCGGAGCCTGTGCTCCGCAACGGGAGAGGCCGCGGCAGTGAGAGGCCCGCATACCGCAAAAAAAAAAAAAAAATTGTAATAATGGTACAATTCCAATATAAGTAAAATTCTTTAAATTACTGTTGTTTCATATCACTTAAAAAAATAGTTAAGGATTTGTCACTGGCATTAATTATGTTAAAAAAAAACCATTTTATTATTGCACATTATTTTTGTCCTTTATTACACAAAAAAGTATTTTTACATATATACATATGTATACATAATATTTCTAATTTCCAAAATTTTTGTTGTTATTCACAAGATATTATATATGAAGTCCATTTTCAATTTATTCATATTTTATTAATTTCATCCATAAGCATAAATATCTTAATAATTATGAGTAAAGGAGCTACAGATAAGATAATGGCATATTCTCTCTGAAAGCAGATTGTATTTTGCTATGAAAACATGACAACAGTATGGTTCTAATTACCTCTTATATTTTAGAGAGTGGCAGCCGGCCAATCAACTGTATTTTTTTTCTCCTAAAAGGATATAATCAAACAAATGGTAGCTAAAGCTTTTGTGGACTCTTGGATATGTAAATTAAGCACGCTTCTTAACAAGTTATTTTGTCATCCTGATGAGTGGAAACATTGATTTTCAAGACTAATTATACTCACTGTTTTTAAAATAAGCAAGGGGCTTTGCATTATGTAATTTTGCAAAGCGTCGGAATTAGACAGGCAGGTTCCCTGCAGGTCAGGCCTCCTCAGAAGAAGTCCAGGATGTTTACATAAAAGTCACCTTGGTGGAGGAGGTGAGGTTTATCATTCAGCAATTCACCATGGGGCCACATTGCATTTTGAAGTCAACTGGAACTGTCTGCTTAGACACACCTTTGCAAATGTCAATGAAGGTCTGCTTCTGTAAATAGCCACTAACTACTAATACATCTTTACTGGTAAAATAAGTCTAGACCCAGTGATGAAAAGCACCGTTCCTCCAGCATAAAAATATTATTTTTTTGTTGACCTAGTCAAATGTCTTGTGAGTCTATGAGATTCATTGAACAAATCTGTTTTATGCCAAATGGTTTCAAAGAGAGTCCCGTGCGAGGAGTTAGCACTTAGGTTTTGGAGTTATCCAAAGAAATATAGAACTAACAGTCCTTTCCAAGAAAAGCAGTATATAACTAGATACTATAAAACAAAATTATATTTTATACTTCTGATTTTCAACTACAAGGAAATTCAGGTTTTTCAGGGAACACAGGAATATATCACTTAGACTAAAATTTCTGAACTGTTTTCTTTTAAGCACATTTAGGGTGTAGATCTGTGGACTAGAATTTAGTATCAAGAGTAAGTGGAGGGGCTTCCCTGGTGGCACAGTGGTTGAGAGTCCGCCTGCCGATGCAGGGGACACAGGTTCGTGCCCCGGTCCGGGAAGATCCCACATGCCGCGGAGTGGCTGGGCCTGTGAGCCATGGCCACTGACTGCGCGTACGGAGCCTGTGCTCCGCAACGGGAGAGGCCACAACAGTGGGAGGCCCGCGTACCGCAAAAAAAAAAAAAAAAACAAGAATAAGTGGAAAATATACATAAGCCGGAAATTTGTGTTCAAGTCTCATGTTGGGTATTGGCATACTTAGAGCACTAAATTTATTAGGTAACAGAAAACAGTCTCCTTTCAGTGTTCCTTACTCAGAATTTTGCTCAAGAAATATCTTTCTTCCTGAAAATCAATTTGCCTCCACTAAACCTGATATATTCCTACCGGAGAGGAACCCAAATGGAGGAAGGACTTCTGTATCCACATCAGCACATGCACAAGTCTTCAAAGACGCAATGACAAGCACATTCCGGAGTTGACAGTAGCATTATTGCTAGTGGCAGTGGATGTATTTGCAAGATTCAAATCTGTACTCTGTAACTGTAAATCCTTATTCTCTATCTCCTGGTTCCCCCAATCTTAGGATATACCTGGATAGTTCATGATCAAATTAAAAGTCACAGTTGGAGAAGTAAAACTAATTTAACAGGTTTCTATATTTTTTTATTTTTCCATCCTCAATACTAAAGAGGTGAAAAGGAGAATTAAACATGACTCAGTTGCATGTTGTATAACTACATAGAGAGGTGACATAACATTTGTAGAAAATCAATTTCATGAGCCAGGCACTGCATTAGGGACTTCATACATATTATTTTCTTTAATCCTCACAGCAGTCCTATGAGATTGGAATTACTGGCCTTGTTTGACCAAAGAAGCTGAGGGTTACAATCGTTAGTGACTCACCTGTAGATATGACACCCAGCTACTAAGCTACAAAGCTGGAATTCAAACCAGGTTTGTCTGATTTAAATTCTGTGCCCATTTCATAATCTGAGCAAAAGAATTTCAGGATTTTAACTATGAAGCAGAATTCAGTCACCCAGTACAATTATTCATTTGATGCTTGAATTGCATCTAAAATAACTCTTAATTAGTCATCAGCTGAGGTTTAAAGATTGCTAATATTGATGAGCGCTTTTAAGATCTACTCTCTTAGCAACTTTCAAATGTGCAATACAGAATTATTAATCATAGTCATCGTGCTGTGCATTACATCCCCAGGACTTATTTAGTATTTTATATTGTGGTGATCATTTTGAAATATATACAAATATCTCATCATTATGTTGTACACCAGAAACTAATTTATATGTCAATTATATCTTAATAAATAAATAATATAAGCATAAATGCATAGTAAATTGGGGCCTAAAACTTAAAAGAAAAAGGATTGCTAATAATAAGAAACTGAGACCAGTTTATCTAGCTCAAAAAATTCTATAGTTGTCCTGTCTGACATCTTAGAAACTAGCCATAGGTGGCTGTTTAAATTAAAATTAAGTAAAACAAAAAATTTCAGTCTCGCCACATTTCAAGAGCTCAATAACCTCGTGTGGCTAATGGCTACCGTACTGGACAGCATATGTAGACACACACATACATACAGACATATATATTCTCCCTGTATTCTTTAAGTGAACTCATCCACAAACGCATAAGCCTCCAAAAGTGTTAATGCACTGCTCTCTTTCACACGGTGCTGTGAAATGGCTTTCTCTCCCCCAAAACAGTAACACAATTATCAAATTTCATTGAGACCCAGATGGGAGAAGATGAGTCTACACAGGATGATTATCACATATTGAGTTCAGCAGAGAACTAGCGTGATGGAATTGGGGACTCTCTGTGTCTAGAGAGATGGACAACTGAGAGAGTGCAGAAGTCAGCAGCCCAATAATACCGATAACATCTATTCTTGGATAAAACCTGGGACTTGGATATTTTCTCTATCCATCTAATTAATAACTTACATAATCTGATAATACAGTAGAAATATGTATGTGCATGTATACATATGTGTATAAGTGTGTGTTTATGCAACCTAAAGTCTGCTATATATGACAAACAAAATTGCCTTAATCAATGACTAAGCAAACCATGGAGTATTTTTTCTAAAGAGGCTAAAAAATTCATTGTTTCTAAGTAGGTTTAAATACAATCTCTTGGGGCCAATTGTTGGATTAAAAACCATTTTGCTCTTCTATACATCTTATTTAATCTCTTACTCTTAATCTCTTACTTACAGGGAAATGTTAATAAAGACTTCAAAACTCACAACCAAAGAGCTCCAAGGGACATAGATGCCAGCCAAAAGGTGGGCAATGTTTTTGTCTAATATTTCACAATGTCTTATAATAGCTGTTGGTCTTCAGTGACATCTGGGTACATGAAATTGTCAAAAAAAGCTACTATGCACAGTGGAAATTTCCCTTTTCTAGCATCCAGTTATTTTTTGTTTTTATTAACAAAATATTTTAAAAGTCATGCAGACTGCAAGAAATGACTTGAATCAATAAATATTCAATCAACAAATATATTTTACTTAAGGGTTTGTAAGCTTGATTTATAATTTTTTAATTATTTTTGTGGTAAGAATACTCAACATAAAATCTACCCTCTTAACAAATTTTAAGGACAATATCGACACTAAGCTGTATAGTCGATGTCAGAATGTATCTTACATAACTGAAACTTTGTGCCCTTGACCATCATCTTCATACTGCCCCCTACCCCCAGCCCCTGGAAATCACCATTCTATTCCCTGTTTCTATGAGTTTGAGATAATAAGGTATTTATCTTTCTATGTCTGGCTTATTTTATTTAGCATAATATCCTCCAGGTTCATCCATGTATAGCAAATGGAAGGATTTTCTTTTTTAAGACTGAATAATATTCTATTGAATGTGTATACCATATTTTCTTTATTCATTAGTCTGCCGATGTATATTTAGGTTGTATTCCTATCTTGGCTGTTGTGAATAATGATGCAATGAACATGGAGGGCAGGTGTCTCTTGGAGGTGCTGATTTCAGTCCTTTGCATAAATACCCAGAAGTGGGATTGCTGGATCATTTGGTAGTTAGACTTTTAACTTTCTGAGGAAACTTCACACTGTTTTTAATAATGGATGTACCAATTGACATTTCCATCATTAGTGTACCAGGATTCCCTTCTCTCCACATCCTCTCCAACACGTCATTATTTTGTTTATTAAATATTAGCTATCCTAACAGATATGAGGTGGTATCTCATTGTGGTTTTAATGTGCACCCCCTGATGATACTGGGGAAGTATCCTTAGAAAAATTGAGCGACTTGCCAAAGTTCAGAGTCACTAAGTGGTGTAATCAGGTATTAAAGCAAGGTTGCCTAACTCCAAAGACTGGTGTTTGATTAATCCCCCCATATTTTTGTGATTTTTTTTTAAAAGAAAGAATCATTTTTAAAAGGGTAAAACCAGGGATAGATCACTTTTGGGATGTACAGAGTGAAATTCATCCAAAAATAACCAAATTCAATATTCTTAAATATTTGAGAATATGATGCATTAATATTCAAGTCAAACTCAAATATTTATCAACCAGTTACCTAAGTGCTTCACAGATACCAAACCACCTACAACCATAGGCCTGAAGAACCACTTCACAATGAAATTTGATTGAACTACTAATATAGTTAAATAGAGATTTTATAGATTTGTATAACTTAGAGAATTTAAATCAAGATCACCTTTATACAGATGAGTGACATGAATCTTAGGAGACAAGGTGACATGCTAAAGATTAATTTTTCTCCCCAATTACACTTCTCTCAAGAAAAAAGAAAAATCATAGGAGCTCTGGAAATGAAGGTATGGTCTTTGAAATATGCTCATTGCTCTGGAATCACCTTTAGGTGCTTTACTTGAAGAAGGAAAGTATGTTTTCTCCTCTTCCCTGTACAAAATCATGGGAAGTTGTAAAATCAGGTTCATGTGGGCATCAGACAGGCCGTAACAAGGAGAAGCTGTGTAAAATAGGCAGGGTTCACAACAGAAAATAGGGACAAGCCAAGAATATTAGTTAGTTACAAGGCCATAGAATACATTGCAATCGTGAGATACAAGACAAAAGGCTAAATCTAAAAGTCTGAAGTTAGGTCAGTATTAAATAAATATATCCTAGAACAGGGATAACTCTACGTGAGTAGTTTCTGAAAGTTCTTAAGGTATGGTATCTCTGCTTTCTGGATCTGAATTCATCTGAACACGGGGTAATTTCAGAATAATTGATAAAATCTAATACTTGTTGAGAAATAGGAAATAGATTATATCACACCATAAGTTTTAAGATTCATGTCTGCTGAATTTTCAAATTTAGCCATATCCTACCTTTACTGTCATTAGCTCTATGGTTGTCCATGGGAATCCAGAAATTCCTTTATATCCAATGCTTTTAGTATCTTGGGAATTTTCTTATAAATTCCAGACATTTCCATGATAATATTTCAGATACCACAGCTTCTGCTACACATAGTTTACAAGACACGCACACCACTGTGTGCAATTTCCCTCCAACCCCCTCTGGAAATCCACCAGAAAATAACCCACAAGGATAGGTGGTCTGCAAGCCACTTCTGATATATGCATCCACTGTATCTTTCTGCATACTTTGTACTTTGGTGGGTATGCCTAAAATGCAATAGTATGAATGTCTGTTCAATAGGTCAGATATTGACTATAACTCATAGCAAGCAAGTGCTAAATCCATCCCAATAATTTTTCTGCCTAAATCAATGGGCATTGGTTATTTTAAAACAGGAATCATTAAGAGTGACAGATCTCAAAGCTATTGCTAGGAATATATATTAATACAAACAGCATCCATGTTATACTTGATGCTGTGGCATAGAAAGCAGAAAATAAATATGCTTATATCCCTAGTTGGATTATATTCCCTTCTTGGAATATGCTAATTAAAAGTCAACCAGAGATTGACATATATACACTAATATGTATAAAATGGATAACTAGTAAGAACCTGCTGTATAGAGGGAGAGCTTCAAGATGGCGTAAGAGTAAGACGCGGAGATCACCTTCCTCCCCACAAATGCATCAGAAATACATCTACATGTAGAACAGCTCCTACAGAACACCTCCTGAACGCTTGCAGAAGACCTCAGACCTCCCAAAAGGCAAGAAACTCCCCACGTACCTCGGTAGGAAAAAAGAAAAAACAGAGACAAAGCATAGGTACGGTACCCGCACCAGTGGGAGGGAGCTGTGAAGGAGGAAAGGTTTCCACACACTAGGAAGCCCCTTCGTGGGCAGAGACTGCAGGTGGTGGAGGGGGAAAGCTTCGGAGCCACAGAGGAGAGCGCAGCCACAGGGGTGCAGAGGGCAAAGCGGACAGATTCCCGCACAGAGGGTCGGTGCCGACCAGTACTCACCAGCCCGAGAGGCTTGTCTGCTCACCCGCCAGGGCAGGCGGGGCTGGGAGCTGAGGCTTGGGCTTTGGTAGAGTGCAGGGAGAGGACTGGGGTTGGCGGCATGAACACAGCCTGCGGGGGGTTAGTGCGCCACGGCTAGCCGGGAGGGAGTCCGGGAAAAAGCCTGGACCTGCCGAAGAGGCAAGAGACTTTTTCTTCCCTTTTTGTTTCCTGGTGCGCGAGGAGAGGGGATTAAGAGCGCTGCTTAAAGGAGTTCCAGAGACGGGTGCGAGCCGCGGCTAACAGTGCGGACCCCAGAGACGGGCATGAGATGCTAAGGCTGCTGCTGCCGCCACCAAGAAGCCTGTGTGCGAGCACAGGTCACTATCCACACCTCCCCTCCCGGGAGCCTGTGCAGCCCGCCACTGCCAGGGTCCCAGGACCCAGGGACAACTTCCCCGGGAGAATGCACGGCACACCTCAGGCTGGTGCAACGTCACACTGGCCTTTGCAGCCCCGCATCCGTACCCCTCCTTCCCCCTGGCCTGAGTGAGCCAGGGCCCCCGAAACAGCTGCTCCTCTAACCCCATCCTGTCTGAGCGAAGAACAGATGCCCTCAGGCGACCTACACACAGAGGCGGGGCCAAATCCAAAGCTGAACCCCGGGAGCTGTGCGAACAAAGAAGAGAAAGGGAAGTCTCTCCCAGCAGCCTCAGGAGCAACGGATTAAAGCTCCACAATCAACTTGATGTACCCTGCATCTGTGGAATACCTGAATAGACAACGAATCATCCCAAATTGAGGAGCAATGATATATAGAGTTCTTTCCCTTTTTCTCTTTTTGTGAGTGTGTATGTGTATGCTTCTGTGTGTGATTTTGTCTGTATAGCTTTGCTTTTACCATTTGTCCTAGGGTTCTATCTGTCCTTTTTTTTTTTACTTAAAATTTTTTTTCTTAATAATTATTTTTTATTTCTTATTTTAATAACTTTATTTTATTCTATTTTACTTTATTTTATCTTCTTCTTTCTTTTTTTCCTCCCTTTTATTCTGAGCCATGTGGAGGACAGGCTCTTGGTGCTCCAGCCAGGCGTCATGGTTGTGCCACTCAGGTGGGAGAGGCAAGTTCAGGACACTGGTCCACAAGAGACCACCCAGCTCCACGTAATATCAAATGGCAAAAATCTCCCAGAGATCTCCATCTCACCGCCAAGAATAAGCTCCACTCAAGGACCAGCAAGCTACAGTGCTGGACACCCTATGCCAAACAACAGGCAAGACAGGAACAAAACCCCATCCATTAACACAGAGGCTGCCTAAAATCATAATAAGGCCACAGACACCCCAGAACACACCACCAGATGTGGACCTGCCCACCAGAAAGACAAGATACAGCCTCATCCACCAGAACACAGGCACTAATCCCCTCCACCAGGAAGTCTACAGAACCCATTGAACCAACCTTAGCCACTGGGGACAGACACCAAAAACAACAAGAACTACGAACCTGCAGCCTGCGAAAAGGAGACCCCAAACACAGTAAGATAAGCAAAATGAGAAGACAGAGAAACACACAGCAGATGAAGGAGCAAGCAAAAACCCACCAGACCTAACAAATGAAGAGGAAATAGGCAGTCTACCTGAAAAAGAATTCAGAATAATGATAGTAAAGATGATCCAAAATCTTGGAAATAGAATGGAGAAAATACAAGAAACGTTTAACAAGGACCTAGAAGAACTAAAGAGCAAACAAACAGTGATGAACAACACAATAAATGAAATTAAAAACTCTCCAGAAGGAATCGATAGCAGAATAACTGAGGCAGAAGAATGGATAAGTGACCTGGAAGATAAAATAGTGGAAATAACTACTGCAGGGCAGAATAAAGAAAAAGGAAAGAAAAGAATT